CATAAAATGACATGGCGGGCCACATGTGGCCCGCGGGCCTTGAGTTTGACACATGTGCTCTACAATGTGGGGTTGTGGGGACCACTGCTCCTTGTGGGGACATTTTCTTGATTCCCATGATTGAAATGCTGTTTTTGGGTTGGGGTTAGGTTTGTGATGGTCAGCGCTAGGGTTAAGGTTAAACTGTAGAAAATCAGTGAAGTCAATATGAAGTCCCCACAAGACACAAAAACATGACTGTGTGTGTGTTCTTTTTGTTGTTGTTTTTTTCTCCAGGTGTGTGTGTATCCCCGGCTGGGTGGGACCGGACTGCGGCATCGACTACAACGAGTGCGCGGATCACCGCTGTCAAAACTCAGCTCAGTGCATCGACCATCTGGATGGTTACAGCTGCGTCTGCCCGCAGGGATTCAGGTACTGGGAGCACTGGGAGACGGGGAACTCATGAAAGCTCAGCCAGTAACGTTCCAAGGAAACATTAATGTTTGTTTTGTTTTTAAATTATGTATGGACATCTTCCAAATAAATATGGTATTCATGATTACAGTTAATTTTAGGATTTATGTTTTGTATGACATTTTATCTTTCTGTTTTATAGTCTTTTAAATTGATTTATGTTATTAAAGTCCCATCTGGAGATGTTCATTGCAAACTAGCTAACAGTAACAATAACAAATTTTGCTGGGCAATAAATTATCCCTGAAGTTGCAATAAATGGTAATATTGTTGTTTTCAGACTATTTTGAAATAATATAATGGTATTAGAAAAATAATGTAAGAACAAATTCTCAAAGATCAATAAACCTCAAATTCTAATTAACATTTAATTTAATTTGTCAGCGCTTCAACTGAAACACAATGTAATTATTTTTCCAGTAGCTACATAACCTATTTATTATATTATTTGGAATCAATGTTTTCAATTAACCCAAAGCATAAAAACAGTAACACTTTGAGTTGGAACATTGTGTAATAAAAGAATAAACAAAGTTATATACGAAGAAAATACATTTTAAACAAAAACCAGCAAAAGGAGAACAGTGAACTATATTTACATGTTCAGAAGACTGGGTAGGAGTATAAATTTATTATTACACCCACATTAGTACCATCATCTAATAAACTGAGTAAAAGTCATATTGGTATTGTTACATTTTTCAACATTATAGGATACTAAAAGACTATTATCGCAGATTTCCCTTCAGTCAAACTCAGGTTTTTGTCTGCATTGGATAACAAAATAAGCATCTCTTGATATGAATACAAGCTTATAAACAACAGTTATGAGCAATAGTAACACAACCCCTTATGCTTTTTTTTTATTAATAAATACATTTCTAATTTTCCAACTATATTTTTCTGTTGCAACAAATATCTTTCTGATGTATTTTGGCTCCTCAGTGGTGAGTTTTGTGAGGTGACAGATCTTCAGCAGACACCCTGCCAGATGGCCAAGTGTCAGAATGGCGCTCCCTGTAACGACAAGTTGGGGACCGCAATCTGTCAGTGTCCGCCCGGCTTTGAGGGCCAGAGTTGCGAGAAGCTGGTTAGCGTCAACTTCGTGGACAGAGATTCTTACGTCGAACTTCAGGATGTGAAAAACTGGCCTCAGTCCAATATCACGTTGCAGGTAGAGCCTGCAATGTCAGGAAACACAACGCTTCAGATATTTAGCATCTTACATTCTATCACATGGACATTTTGGTGCGTTTCTCTTCTTTTCTGCTTCAGGTGTCAACTGCAGAAGATAATGGCATCTTGCTATATAATGGAGATCATGAGCCGATCGCTGTAGAGCTCCATCAGGGTCATGTAAGGGTCACCTATGACCCTGGGAACCAGCCTGCCACCGCTATTTACAGGTAGGTACAAGTAACACACAGACAGATGAATACAATAATCCAACCCTGAGTGACCATCCATATGAGGCAGGGAGTCCAAAGTGTGGCTCGGAAACGACTTTGGGTGGCCTTTGATCCGAACTCAAGAACAGCCTAAATTTGGCTTGCCAGTTCAGGAAGTGGATAGAGAATTAAAAACAATGTTAAGGTGCAGCCTTTCAAAAAAAAGACACAATTTGAGTTAGTTATATACTGCACCTGTTGCCAAAAAGACAAAAAAAGAAAAGAAAAATATGATTAACCTGAAAAAATTAGAATATAGTTGTTTGCTTTTTTTTTTTAATCTGGCAAACCTGAAAAACATTTTTTGTGTTATCAATCTTTTGCCTGGAGAAATGTGACTGCCATCATGTTTAGTTTCAGGTAAAAATGAAAGCATAAGATAGTTTTTGTAATTATGATTAAAAACAAAAATACTAAAATGTTTGTGGCCCTTTCAGCCTTACCTTTACCTACCAAAGGTTTGGGCACTTCTAAGGCATCTAAAGATATTTATCAAAAGTTCCAATAGAATATATAGAACAACACAAGAGACATTGATAGCATTAGGAAGGGACAATGATAACACTTGTAAAGGACAGTACTGCTGTAAATCAGTGAATATATTATAAGTGAGAAGAAATTCTCCAGCAGTCTCTTATAGATATCACCTTCGCTAAACACATCTAAATAAGACCTGCTTTATGTGTAAAGAAGTCACCAAATACATGTGGGTGGCCTGCCAAATGCTGCACTGGGAGGACTGGACAGTCGTGGAGTTTAAACTTAAAGGGGACTTTTATCCAAAATTCACATTTTGGTTGTTTTCATACTTCCATTTGGGTCACAACTGCTTTTAAAAACAACCCAGACACTTTTTGGAAATAAATTCATGTTTTTTGGTGTCTGGAAAATGAGCCCTTTTAAAAACCTCCCATTACCTAGCAACCCTAGCTGAGTTCCAGCATGTTTGGTCAGCTAGTTTTACCACTGTATGCGCTGTACAATGGCTGCTAGAAAAGCCAAGTGCTTTATTGTTTATTTACCATCCAGAAACCATTGCTGCACTCTTGTGTATTGTGCAGGAGGCTCCACTTCTGCTTTTCAAAGACATACAGTTATATAATCTGTTTACAGACATTTTCATGTGTGAGTGTAAATGCAGAGTGAGGTAGCATGGCCAGCAGCAGATTATTTGTATTTAGAGTGACAAGACTCTCTAAAACACCTCAAAATTGGCAGAACACAGCCGGCCAAAATCTCATTATCTAAGAATTATTTTGTGTAAAAGATGTAATGAACATGTTTTGTGTAACCCGTAGACCTATGACCTGTTCAAGGTCACCTTTAACAGCAGATTAGATTGTCTTTAAGCATATTTACCTTCAATCAGGACATTGGTGATAATATTCTCATTGTAAGAAAGCTGAATGTTATATTTTGGGCCCATTTAGAGGATTTATATGGAGTTTTAAGCATCATCTCAGTTTGGAGCAGTTCATTTTGTGTTGATTCATGATCTATATATTGTAGCTTAGAGCAAGAATCCTGTGTTCCTTGGGGAGGAGCAGATGAACTCACAGCCTTTGTCATCTGAATAAAATGGCAGATGCTGCCAAAGACACTTGAGATAAAGAGACCACTCAATCAGATGCGGAGAGCCTATATGTTCAGACGAGGAGGAAGAGACGTGTCCACCTGGCACATTCTCACACTCATAATCTTACTAAGGATACAGAATAAATTCTATTAAAGCAGCGTCAAGGATAAAATCTGCTTTACTAATTGCGCTTTCAGATCATTTGAGGACATTCACAATCGTGTTTTCTTGTCCTTTTAGAAAGGTTTTTCATTTAGGATCATCGAGTTATAGAGAAACATTTCCACTGAATGATGCTAATATCACCGCGTCTGTTTCTGTTCTCTCCCGAGAGCTCTTTGCCTTTTAGCCAGGAATGTCTTTGTCTGATCCTCCTTCTATAGAGGTGTGAGAAATTGAATTTTGCATAACCTGGACTTGGTTGTGAACTTCTTGTTCCAATAACAAAGACTTTTTCCTGTGACTTTGTAGCTCTTTTCCGCTTTCATCAAACTCATACAAATATTATCTTTTCCCAATATTGCATAATTATGAGGATTTTCACTCTGTTTAAGGCCAGCTTCATGTCTGACTGTGCTACATTTTTATGGTGAAGAGCAAACACTGGGACTCACTTATTTTTCAGTAAAGTACAAGCAGAATATCTCTGGTCACAGTAGGAAAGTTTAACATTGTACCTGTCTCTAAGGAAACATTTTTACAATGATCAATGAGTTATTGAGCAGGAACTTACCAAAAATGTATTTAAAAAACTGGTAATCAATAGTTTTAATTTGCAATATTTATCTTTTTTTCTCTTTCTCTTTCTGCCAAAAACTGAAAGATAGAAGTTTTCAGTCTGGTGTTTTGGTCTCAAATAGCCCTTTTTTTTGAAGGACAATTTTGTTTAAAGAATTAAGAATATTATTTGTTGTTTCTGTTCTTTTGCTTATTTATTTTGGATATTTAAAATCTTGTCCAGTTCCAGTGTTAAATGTCAGATAGAATTTAAAGTTCACTGAGCTTTCAGAATGTGTTTTTGCATTGTTGTGCCATTATTGTCGTTATATTAATTGAAAATGTATGCTCAAGCAAAATCTGTAATCCTGACAGGTCTGATCTGCTGTTATTTACAGCTGTTTACATGTTGATTCTATATATTTATAGAAAAGTGACATTAACCACAAGAATCATAACGATAGGTCTGAAATGTTCCTGTTAGCTACATGTCTTTACCATTTGCATGATTATGATTTTGATTATCATGTTGTACATTGGGGGGAAAAAAAAATAAATGTTTGGTTTTCTCTGCAGCTCTGAGACGGTAAACGATGGTAATTTCCACACGGTTGAGCTGGTGACCTTTAATCAGATGGTGAACCTGTCTGTGGATGGAGGAGAGCCAACGACTCTGGACAGCCAAGGACGTGGCCAGCCGCTGACTGGAGAGACGCCTCTTTACGTGGGAGGTAGGAGTGGTGGGCGGCTTCATGCCTCAGCTCAGACATAAATATCTCTGCTGAAGCCAGTGCAGGTCCACATATAGAGCTGCTGTGGTTTGTCTGGCCAGGTATGCCTGAGGAGGTTATACCGTCTTCTCGAGGCCTCTCCTCTCAGAGCCTCAACACGTCCAGTTTCCACGGCTGCATCAGGAACCTCTACATAAACCATGAGCTGCAGGACTTTACCCGCAGCCAAATGAAGCCAGGGGTTGTACCGGGCTGCCAACCCTGCCGCAAACTTTACTGCCTGCATGGCATATGCCAACCCAACAGTGCACAGGTAACAACACACAGAGCTGTGACAGTATTCCTCATAAACGTGCTAAACCAGATGTCATGGAACTCAAAGTTCCTAAACCAAAAAGTTCCAAAAAAGGCCATAGGTGGTTTGGTTCTCACACACACTTCTGACTTGATGGTTTGAAAAAATTATATGCAAAAATATAGATAAAACGATAACTAAAAATCTCTTACAATTTATCTGAAAATGAAAGTTAACCTAATCTGATGTTTCAAATTCAAAAAGTGGTTAAAAATATAATTTTACACAAACCTCCCATCATCACACCAGATATTTGCTAAACCAAAGGACCTCCACCACGCCCTCCAGTGACTGAAATCACTTAAATTAATGGGAGTGTCTAAAAGTTACCAAAGTAATCTGAACAATTCCAGATATAAAAATTTATTACAGATTTTGGTTTTACAATAACGTAAGTATTTTCTATCTGCCCAAACAAAAGCTAACCTGATAGAACTTAAGATTTATAAAAATTCAACATAAAATGTCTGCAACACAAATCATGATGCAAGGGTTTCATATCAGTTAGTAGATAATTATTGATTATTTTTTTTGTTTTAAATATTTAAAATACTGTCCACCAGGTGGTGTGACCTTTCCTGTTTTATCCACAGTTTTCACTCCGCGCTGTTGTTTTTATTTTTAAGCAGTTATGAGGCACAGAGGCGAAACTTAAACTGCAGCTGTGGAAGTTTCTCAACAGCTTGTTGCTAGGTGACCAAAGAATGAGTGAGTTGCTAGGCAACCAAAGAGTGAGTGAGCTAGTCGCTGTCACTGTGTAGTTTGTTCCGGAAGCTCGATCTGTACAGTTGGCTCCTTTGCTCATGCGGTGAAGAAATACTTCTGGTTTATTCTTAAAATGTACATCTACAAAGTGTTGGATGATGGAATCATCATGGACCAAAGAAACGACCTTTATTTTTACGATAATCACGTCTTTTATGAGATTAAGTAAAGGTTTTGTGGGACTGCACAAGGCTATTTCCCGATTTTATCTTTACTTCTCATTTTCTTTACATTTTATACTGTTTTTACGATTACAATGACATACAAACAGAAAAAATAACTAAAAACACCCTCCTTGGAAGTATTTCTTTTAGCATAAGGGAAAATGATGGTCCACATCATACAGTGATGATCCCACCAATTTTGCTTAGCTAACTATGAGAGGTTGAGCAGCTAATGTCTTTCCTTTGCCTACATCTCCCAGAATGCTTTGTGGTTTTGGATCAGAGTTTAGAGAACTTATTGAATATTCTATCAGATGTATTTTCGGTTGACATTGATACATGTACATTGTGATATACAGTATATTGTTGATTTATTGCGCAGCCCGATTTTAAACTGAAGCTTTGTTTTCCAGATGATTGATGAAGTGAATTTGTCTTTTCTCACAGGGCCCCCAGTGCCACTGCCAGCCAGGTTGGACAGGCCAACACTGTGACCAGCCAATCACTGTAGGCCTCAGTGGAGGCGACGTCGTCACCATGGCGAATGGTATCAACCCATGTGAGGGAAACAAGTAAGGCACTAACATGTATTTCAGATAGGACTGAATCAAGTATTCAAATGATCAACTAATTTAGTAATTGATTAAGTGGTGTATGCAGACACAAAAAAGGCCATTTGCTGAAAAAAACAACACAAGCAGAGCAGGAATTAAGTCAAAACTAAACAAAATATGAATACATTTTGGATTAAAGAGAAAATACAAAACTTTAACTGTAAATTTATTCTACCCAAAGTTCCTCAAGCGGCATAGTTTTAGATTTATGTGGTTCAAATGCTGTTTAAACAAAGAAAAAGTCTCCTATAATCCACTTTCTGCTACACAGATTTTGATCAGTTTATCCAAATAATAATCAGATCAGCCATACAATGTGTTGAGGCTACGGGCTGAGCTTTTCTCATTCTTATGTTTAAAGTATTTGTTACAAAGCGTTCAATAGAGGAATGCTATTTTATTACATTTCAGAAAATAAAATATTTATTTTCTTATTTAAAAATGGAATTGAATTATTTTTGTTTGCATTTACTCTATTTCTAATATTGTTAAAATAACCTTAAGTGTTTTCATAAAAACTCTGAAGAATGTGCACATTTTTATCTGATTAATCGATTAATTGTCAGAATAATTGATTACTAAATAATCGATTAGTTGCAGCCCTAATTTCAGATCTTTTTGTCAGATGTCCATATACTCATCATGTCACGTCGATGTGTTATTGATGTTTATCCGTTTTAAAAGAGAATCCTCCACTGATCTCCCTCTTCCAGGTGTGTGAAGGGCGCCTGCGTGGCGCTGGATGCTCAGACCTACCGCTGTGAGTGTGAGAAGGGATTCAGAGGAGCGCTGTGCCACCTGCAGGAGGAGCCCGCCGGCCCCTGCCAGAGGCTGCAGTGTCTCCACGGCCGCTGTCAAAAGACGGAGGACGGAGAGAGCTGTGTGTGCGACCAGGGATACACTGGAGAGAGCTGCGCTACAGGTGAAAATAACACACGGATCAGAACCAATGTTGGTCTGTTAGAGGATTCTTTTCAACTCCTCATCCAAACTGATCTATAATTTTCCTTCATGCACTGAAATGCACATTTGTTTTAAAGTAGCAGACAAAACAAGACAAATATACAACTTTCACTGGTAGATTTATTCACTTACGATGTGGGAAAATGTCTTGTTTTATCTGCCAGGGAACTAATACTTTTTAATCAATGCAATATTAAAAATAGTAAAGAATCCGGTCCTCAACTAGATTGCTTTGAGTAACATAAAATAACAAACTCAGGAAAAAGAAAATTGTTTTTAAATCCGATTCTTTAAAAAAAAAAAACCTGCAGCAGTGTCTGGTGAATTTTTGATTAAACATGTTTGTTTTTCAGTCAGTGGGTAGAAAATCCAGACATTTTACTCAAGTTAAAGTAAAAAGTACAGCATAGTAAAATCACGTTTTGTTTTTTCCAAAAAGTTACTCTTCTATATCCGGTTTTAGAAAGCATTTCCTAACCGTGTCGCTGTGCTGCCGCCTGCAGAGACCCCATGTCGAGGTGAGCCGGTCAGAGACTACCACCGGCTGCAGCACGGCTCCGTTCTCTGCCAGACATCAAAACCGTTCTCCTGGGTCGACTGTCGGGGTCACTGCCGGGCTGAAGCCGAGCGGGGAGCCGCTGCCGTTTCCTGCTGCGCCCCTCTGAGGGTCCGGCGGCGGAGGATCACCTTCGAATGCGACGACGGGACCTCGTTTACGCAGGATGTGGAGAAGCCTGTGGAATGTGGCTGCAAGGACTGTGTGTAACTCTGAGGAAGGGAAGATGAACACTTTCCCACAGGTAGACCGTCTCAAACCAGAACCCAAAACCAGCAGGTAGACCGTCTCAAACCAGAACCCAAAACCAGGAGGTAGACCGTCTCAAACCAGAACCCAAAACCAGCAGGTAGTCCGTCTCAATCCAGAACCCAAAACCAGCAGGTAGACCGTCTCAAACCAGAACCCAAAACCAGCAGGTAGACCGTCTCAAACCAGAACCCAAAACCAGCAGGTAGACCGTCCCAAACCAGAACCCAAAACCAGCAGGTAGACCGTCTCAAACCCAGAACCCAACGCCAGCAGGTAGACCGTCTCAAACCCAGAACCCAACGCCAGCAGGTAGACCGCTTGAAATCAGAACCCAAAACCAGCAGGTAGACCGTCTCAATCCAGAACCGAACCCGGCTCCAGGTACGATCGCCACAGGAGGAAACTTGCTTTCTGTTTTTCGGTATTTGCCTCACCAGCTGTTTTGAGACGTTTCTTCATCGACAAGTCGACCTCGTCCTCCTCACCTGCAGAACCCCTTAGTGCAGAGGTGTCCAAAGTGTGGCCCACGGTTCATTTGCAGTCCATGTAGTGATTTTTTGGCCCACGACTCCAAGATGATACAATTGATCCCTGTAGTACAGTGGAGTATTGCTAAGCACAGGTGGTTGAGATTTTTTATTTTTATTTCAAACCAGGACAAAATTATCCAGACAAATTAAAATCTTACAATAGGAAATGTTTGCTGCAACAAAAAGTATTCAGTACTTTTAGATTTTCGTATTTTCTTGTGAAAACCAAATTTATTCAGCAGGTTTTCTTGCATCTGGATCTGCTTTTAATGAATTTATTGGACAAATATTGCATTTTTCAATAAAAGTAACCTAAAACTTGCTTTTATTGCTCAAAGTTGACAAAAATGTTTTATTATTTTCAGTCGAGACTTTTAAAAGTTCTTTTAATGAGGCAAACATTTTGGATGTGCAGTAGTTTACATTCCAACAGCAGCAAGAATCCACTTTAATCATTTGGTTTAATTCAGTTTATTAAAAATGTCAAAATTAATTCTGATTGACGATTTTGGCCCGTGTGACTAAAGTTTGGACACCCCTGCCTTTGTGTCGCACACCAACAAATGCAGCGCTGGAAAAAATGAAGAGACCATTTAAGATGATCCGTTTTTCTGATTTTACTGTTTGTAGGTTTATGTTTGTGTGAAATGAACCTTGTTCTTTTATTCTATAAACTACTGACAACATGTCCGTGAAGTTAAAATTTAGTATTTGCAGAAAAAGATAAAAAAAGATGCTGTGCTTTCAGAGCTCAAATAATGCAAAAAAAAAACTGTTAATGTTCATTTATAAACATGAATACTAATATTTTAACTCAGGACAAGTTCAGAAATCAGTGTTTGGTGGAATAACCAGGAGGTTGTCAGTGCAACGAGTTCTTCGTTTTTTCCAGATCTGTATTTATATGTGAGAGTTTAAGTTCTGAGGTCCATTCAGTAAACACAGACTTTGCTAGATTTATTTCCATCACTGGGTAAGAGGATCTATAGACTGTTTCCAGTATCGCCAGGCATCAAGTGTCCAGCTTGTTACCCTTCAAGATGTTAGCGAATATGCTAATCAGCAGCAGGTTTCCTGTGGTCCTACATATCTGAAAAAAGAGGAGTTTATGTAACACTGAAATCTGATTCCTGGCATCTGCCTCACATTATTTGGTGAAATTATCAGACAGAACGCGCTGTGGGAAAAACGCGACGTGTTACCTAGAGATGCTTCCAACATCTGTCTTCTGCTCAAAACATGCGCTCTCTCTTTCTCTCCACTCTTCAGTCAATTATGTGGAGATATAGTGGCGTAAAAATGTCTCACCCTGTAAATCTGTGTCTTTTATTCCGAGTCCATGTGTTCTGCACTGAGCCATTTGGTCTGGCTGAATAAGAAATGAACCAGGTTCCCATTTTCTGCACAGACCTCCCAGGGGAGAGAAACGTGAAACTGGGAAGAACTAAACGCACAGGTTTCTTTTTTCATAGCCTGCCTTTACAGTAGAAATAAACCTGCTTACAGCCTGGTTTGTCAACCGTTGTTGTGCTGGTGATTATTCTGTCCTTGTGTGGCAGCAGAACAGGAGATGCCAGGTTCTAAAGTAACACACCTGAACGAAGGATCATGCTAGTAATGCATTCAGCATCGCCTCGGCCATATGCTGACCTTGAGGTTTCCAAGTGTCGCTGCACAAGATGGTGACTGTGTCCATCTTAATTATACAGTCGCTAGTTTATGATTGAGATTCTGCTGCTTAAGTGCACCCCCGGTGATTTTCCAAGGTCACATGTTGGACTTTTTACATGGAGAACGGTTATACAAATACACTTTTCCTCCCTAACAGTAAGTAACGCCATCATGTGTATGACTGAGTACTGATTGTTTGCATATTAGCATAAGTAAATGTTCACTCAGCCGCTTGCTGAGCACTATTGTTTATCTAAAAGTTGTGCAGATTGAACTCAGTTTCCCTTCTTTATTCAAAGTTTGTTTTTTCAGTTTTACAGCTGTGAACATCGATTATTTATTTAAGCAGAAGAGGCCTCCTCTATGAGAGCAGTTCCTATAAAACAGGGTTTTACTTTTCTAACCAACACAGAATATCTACGTTGACAAAATGCCTTTAATTTTAGTCTTCAGAGCAGCAGGAGAGGTTATTAAACAACTTACGTTTAGTTTATTTTGAAAAGTCTACCAACATTTTCCAAATCCAGCATAAAAAAACAAAAAGGTTGAAAAGTCTAACACGTAAAATAGAGCAACGTTGGTATAAACCCTTCAGCCTTCCTGTTATCAGCTAACAGGTTTGCTCTTACTCTCACAGAAGACACTTTCCATTTAAATTGTTTATTACATCTCAACATAATAATAACAACTAACTTTTAGTCTTCTTCACTCTGTAACAACTTCCACACTGAAGAACGGTGTTGACATCAAAATCTGCTAGCGATTACATATGAGACGCTTGGAAAAGGTTGGATTGGATTGTAGAGTTTCCTACAGAAGCTGAGAGTTCCCGCATGTACTTCTTCCCAATGGTTTTCTCAAAACAAGTTAATTTTCTGATGGTTTTCTCAAGATAACGAGTTAATTTCCCATTTCCCACATGTACTTCTTCCCAATGGTTTCCTCGAGATCACGATGATTGGTGTGTCTAAACCTGATTCGAGATTATGGATGCCTCAAGAAAACCATCAGGAAAAAGGATACGCGGGAAACGTCCGCTCTGGGCTTCCGTAGTTTCCTGTGAATCTCTATTTGTCCCTCATTAACATGAAGCTAAAATATAGACTCAGTAATTTAAATATTCAAAAGCAGTTAAGTGTCAGTGAAGATCCGTTAGTGAAACAAAAATTTAAGTTTAACAAGAAACTTTATCTTGTTTATCTCCGTAGAGCCTTCTAGCTTTTTTACTGGTGCACTGTAAAAAAGTGTCTTCCTTCAAGCTGACAACAGATAAAATCATCAAAGGAGTTTCCAAATCCTCAGCAACCCACAGCCATAAATAAAACAAATATTTTCAGACTTTTCTGGGGATAAACCTGACTTCACTGTGCTAACAGAGTTTTCTGAATGTCAGCAAAGTGAGTAACCATCTGCAGCTGTCAGCCTATCAGCAGGTCATCATATATTAATGATTCAACAGCAGCTCTGAGGGACGGCGGCCATCTTGTTTCACCTCGTCCCCGTTGACACAATGCCAAGCTGAAAGCTAAAGCTGACAGAGTTCACAAGGAGGAAATCACAGCTGGAAAACAAACAAACCTGTAAAAAGATAATAAAAATCTGCACACACCAAAACTGACATTTTGTTACCATATGCCCTGCAAAAACACAAAAATGTTACCAAGTATTTTTGGTCTAGTTTTTAGTGAAAATATCTCAGTACACTTGAAATAACAAAACTAACTAGCTTGTTTTAAGTCAATAATTCATTAATAATTAGCCAATAATTCACTTATAACAAGATATTTTTACCATGTTATAAGAGAAATAAAATGGTAAATGAAACTAGTACTTTTTATCTTGTGTGGGAAAAATGTCCTGTTCCACTGGTCGAGTATTTCTTTCATAACTAGTATTTTTCTTTATAAATACTGAGGAATATTGACTTAAAACAAGCTCTTATATCTTTCTGAGATGTTACTTCTAAATTAGTTTCTCTTATTTCAAGTGTACTAAGATTCTAGACCAAACTACTTGGTAATATTTTGTGTTTTTGCAGTGCATTTCTATGTTACAAAGGCCCAGTTGTAGGCTGACGTCAGATGCTGAAAACAGTATTCATTTGGAGTTAATGTCAGACTCCTTACTTATCTTCTCACCAGTCTTACAGAAATATCAGATTTTCCTAACTTTTTTTTGTACCTTCTCCTTACTGATACCTTTATACAGCATTTGGAGCTTGATTGCTGTCTGCAAAGTGTCTCAAATCCTATTGGGACCGCTGAACTTCATTTCTGATTGATCAGATTTTCTTTAACTGATGGCGGATGTGACTTCTTAGATCTTGATTCATGAAATAAATCGACTCCATCACATCCATCTGAGAGCAACGTGCAGCTCCACTGTAAACCACTGTTGATTTTTCTCTCTAACGTGTGAGTAAAGCCTGTGGATAATCATGCCAAATGCCACATTAAACTGTAGCTTTTATATACATAATGTTATGGTATTTATATGGATGTCAAACTAAAAAAAAAAAAAGAAAGTAAAATGAAGGTTTAACTTGTTTTTTATCCACTTATCATGACCTGAAATCAAACTAATGTTAGTGTTTGTAATTAACTGTAGTATCTGTACACACAGTAACATCCTAACTGATTGTGTTGTTTTAAGCTTAGGGTGATTTTTTTGTCATTAAGGGTTTTTACATGTTGAAGGAAATGTCAACATATAAAAAAAATGTCAGCGATTTGTCAACATTTGTGTGTTTAGTCTCTGATTGGGAGGCAACAGTTGCTGTTTCTGTTTCATATTTATTTAAATAAATGGTTGTTTATCCTTTGTTGCTCATTTTTCAGTTTTTACCTCGACCACTGGCTTCTTATCTGTCTGACCTTTGACCTCTATGCATCCTGGGAGGCAGTTTCCAGAGTTCTCGATCCTTTTGAACATATTTTTAAAGTATAAATGGAAAACAGAGAACGTCTACTTACATTTCAAAATAAAAGCACCACCATAAATCGCAGTAATTGTAGTGATATTTCCGAGATGTTGGCTAAATATTGATGCTTTGCTGTCACATTAAAGACAACATCTGTTTTGATTTATTTCTGAGATAATGTGAAACTGACACAAACAGCTAAAAACTTAATAAAGATATTTTTTAAAATATAAAACGTACTTGTATGTAAACCAGCCCACAGACACAGAAACTGAACTGTTAAATTTTTGTTCTGAGTTTCAAAGGACAAAAAATTTTCAAATTTTAAAACTTAAAAATTTCCAAGTTTTTTCTAAGATATTTCTGAGATGAAACTCAAAATTTTCTAGCAATTTTTTCACTTTTGGATCTCAGAAATGTCCTTGTTTCTTCTAGAAATTTTCTGAGATCTTAAAATTTCTGACTTTTTTTGCTGAAATTTACTCCTTTAAACTGTCAGCATAGTGACAGTTTTAACAAATATACAAATTTTTACAGCATTTCTCTTTTTCAGTGAAATAACTGAACTTAAGTTAAAACAATTTTTTCAGAAAACTGCTTCATATTTTATAAAAGTTGTACATCTTTAAATTATATTCATACTTTTTCCCAATTTTAGCAGGAACCCTGGAGTTGCAGTGAGAGAGTGATGGAGAGAACGAGTAGAAAAGGGGGAATAGGAAAGAGGAGGAA